CCCCAAAACCCCAAAACCCCAAAACCCCTATATAAAAATATACAATTGAAACTTGTAAATAATGATTAAAAAACCAAGTTCCCAATGGAATGAGTTTTGCGATAGACTCTCCAATATTAAGAAGAAGTCTAATAGAGAAGTTCTTTGAACTGAATGTTGGATGCTTCTCAATTATGAGCAAAAAACCAAGCACAGAAGCAAGTTTCCTCATCATCAAGAGGGAGTCCTGACTTCAACTCAGTTCGCAAGTGAACTCCAATTCTACCATATTGCTCTTGCAAATCACAAAGTCATTAAGAAAGAGAACGGAGTTGAGTTGATTGTCCAGCCATTATTCTATGATGCTGTTCTTGATGGAGGACATGTTAATATGATGGAAGACTTGTGCAGAGAGATGCACTCAGCTCCTCGTTCTCTCTTAAAAAGTCACGTGACCAATAATTTTGGACCATTTGCTGAAAAATGTTCACTAAAAAATTGATCCAGTTGCTTAGAATTAGAATCAAACTGTCGCTGTTTGCCAAAAATGAACAAGATGCAGAGCATTGATGCTTATCTTGACAAAATGATGGCTGAAATGAGCCAATTTGAAAGTAAAGCTTATAGTCAACTTTACTGAACATTAAACCAAGATGTTCCATATTTTCAGCCAATGTATCCTCAAAGCCAAATGCCTTTATTTGAGGTAGAAGTGATTGATATCCCTGAGAACAGTGAGCCTTACAATTATGATTATGTTCATTCTACTGAATGTAGTCGGATGCAAAGTGAACCAAATTCCCATTGCTGTATTCTATCTCAAGGAAGAAAGAGAAATTCATTTCAACTGATGTCTCCCTATCCTACTACTCCGAGTTTCAAAGATTACCAGAGGAATAATTACGGTTCTTCTCACCAGAGTCAATGCTTCCCTGAACCACTGTGCAAGTTGTCAAGTTTGAACTCACTGGCTTCCAGCCTAGGCAACTTTTAACAGTTATTTTTCATAAGAATTATTCTAAAAATTTGTCGACAATTTTATGGTTCATGGTAACGATACTATTATTTTTCTTACTTTTCTAATATTTATTTGCATAATTTTTAAAGAAACACAGGGATGAAACCAAAGTTTAAAGATCCTGACAATATGGACTTGGCTAGCATAGGAGGATTATTATTTTGACCTTCTACTTATTAAGACAGCAGGCTTTTATTGTTATTAATCGAGCTTTTAGAACTTGTACTGTTTGAATGATTTTCATCATGATAATATTAATGGATAACTAATTTTTCAGCTTTAATTCTAAAATATCTGATTATAAGCATTCATTTTATGCTATAAAAGATACTTGTGCTTGCTCCAAATGTATGGATATTATGCTAGTTTCTATTTTTTTAATTATCTAACACTACAATATGTTATAAGAACTCCTTCCAAGCTGATAGATAGTAGCTCAGACATTTATAAAAATTGCTAACTAATGCCACCTAAAATATGAAGATTATTTGGAGATAGCCCATGATAAAGGTAATGTTACTTTGATTCCCTTTATTATTTATAAGCAAAGCAAGTCTTCAAATATCTAAGTATGCCAACTGTCCAGTGCAATCCAATGATTGTCATTCTTTTGAAGCTCTTCTGGAGTAAGTTGAAGATTTCAAGCATGGCTATCCAATAATTTTTCAGAAACAAAGCCAAATATTAATTTATATGATTCAAAAATGGAATTTTAGATACGCAATACTAGGAAAAGCTGAAAGAGCTAATGTGATCTCTGATAGAATTAATGCATTGATCCTTGAAGAAATTAATCAGATCTTATTATATCCTCTCAGACCTCAAAGTTTTTACTCTATCAGCATGTTTATATTATAGAACATTATTAGATTCTGAAATCTGATAGGAGTGCAAATAACTAGCCAATTAAGAATTTAATACATAATAGTAGAAAGGATTATTGACAAAGCTTGCTGAGATTCTTCAGTATTACCAGTGCTGCTCTCAATTTATTATTTCTAACACTAAAATCAATATTATTGCAAAATGGTTGCACGAGTTCTGGCATTGCGGTGAGCCCAAGCAAAATAAAACTTATCAATATCTTCGATTTATTCCATAACTCGACCTATTATTCAAATTAAGGGTTGACTAGGTTTAGAATTTATCTACTTTTCCACAGCATTACTAGTAATAGGTAATTATTGTTGACTGATAATCTCATGTTCCTTTAGGCTGATCCTGAAAGTCCAGAGAGCGTGTCTAAGCAGCCTTTGAGTATAATTGATCCCTATGCACATTCTTATAATAACTATCTGAAGCTTCTGGGATGATATATACTTCAAAAGATATTACTAGGAATTATCAAACGAATTTCAGATAGAGAAATCTCAAAATCTGCACGATGCCTAAATCAGAGCAATTATAAATTGCCCATTATTCGAGAACTGGTGGATATCTAGGGCTATCGAAAAGCTAGAGTGCAAGATTTGAAGGTTATTTAATAGTCTGAAAGTCCTGATAAAAACTCAATTCACTTTATATAGGCAATCGAGCTCTATGCTTGAAATTTTCATAAAATATTAATCCTCTTAATTTCTCTATATCGATCATCCTTTCAAGTGCAATAAGAATTCTTTGGAAGGAGGAGAGATAGCATTGGCATATCATTGATCCTTATACTAAAAGAGGCAATCTTCTTTGGAGTTAAAACTTAGATGCATGTTTTTAGAACCTAGTATCAGAAGTCCTTTCCGAAGAATTTTCTGTTGAAATTTTCTAAATACTACTGGCTATCAGACTTTGGTGGTGCTATAAAGCTAAGACGTTATTGCTAATAATTAAAGAATAAGGTTGAGTGATTAGTGTTTAAAAAGCTCTCTTGCAATAGCCTAGGACTAGCCTGAGTTTGCATGATGAAGTATTTAGCTTAATTACAATTATACCAAAGTTTGGGATATCTCTTTGAATAAAATTAAAAAAATGACTCACATTTAGTAATGGGTACTTCTTGTATAAATACTTGAAATAAGATTCCAGAAGAGGGATGGATAGAGTTAAAGATAGCATCATCCCCTTCCTTGGCACTAATCTTGGCATAATTTAGCCTATTTATGAAATTCTGTTGAAAGATCAGTTTCTTATTTTTAGAAACCTCATAGATCTTCTTGAAGTAAGTCATTCTGTAGCTATTTTTGGAAGCTGAGATTTCAGCAAACTTCAGAGTTGACTTTTCTTTTTTATTGATCAAGCTTCTAGAGCACGATTTTATACTATCACAAAGATTCAGCTTCTTTGAGAACCTGAAAGGTGACAAATGGGAGAATTCTTCTTGGATACTATTGGGTAATCCATCCTTACAATACTCAGAACAGAAGCCTTTTAGGTCTTTCCGAGAGGTCTAACTATGACGCATTCATGTTTACCTTAAAAATGATTTGACATCTGAATGCACTCACGCATATCCCCATTTTGCACTATTTCAAAAGTAAAAAAACACTACTCCAACGATGGATAAAGCCTACAATCTTCTATAAATTTTAGAAATCAATTTCCCTCTACAGAACTACAGATACTGCTCTTAGCCTAAATCCTATCTTCTTAAACACGATTTTTAAATAAATCTTTTCATAAAAAGTCAGTAACAAAAGGCAAATTTTAGAAATGTTTGTAAACCTGATTCAACCCCTTTCACTCACCTCGGGGTTTTGGGGTTTTGGGGTTTTGGGGTTTTGGGG